GTGCTCTGCTATGCAGATGACACTCTTGTCCTTGCCCGGGGCCGGGACTACGGGGAGGCCAGCCGTTGCGCAGCGGTAGGGGCTTACATAGCCATTGCGCGAATCCGCGCATTAGGACTAGAGGTAGCGGTCTCTAAGACTGAGGCCATCATGTATTATGGCCCACAGGCCAGACCACCCGCAGGCGCGAGAGTACTGGTGGACGAGCAGTGGATACCCATAAAGCCGCACATGAAGTACTTGGGGCTGGAGCTCGATGGGAAGTGGCGGTTTGACTACCACTTTAAGCTCCTGACCCCGAAGCTGGTAAGTGCGGCGGCGGCATTAGGTAGACTGCTCCCAAATGTGGGGGGACCTGGCGCCAGCTGCCGAAAGCTGTACGCAGGGGTTATAAAAAGCATGGCACTGTACGGTGCGCCGGTGTGGGCGGACAGCCTCAGCGCGGTCAACAGAGCAGAGCTCAGAAGACCGCAAAGGCTGGTGGCCATAAGAGCGGCACGGGCGTACCGGACAGTGTCATATGAGGCGGCATGTATCCTCGCAGGGATGCCCCCCTGGGATCTGGAAGCACTCGTGCTTGCAGAAGTGTACCAGGGGAGGATCCAGGCGAGGGAAAGGGGAGAGCGTGCCACAATAGAGGAAGTAGCAGGCATACGCAGGGAGGCAGAAGAAGCGCTCAGGAGAGGCTGGAAGGAGCGACTCGACAACCCGACGGCGGGGGGGAGAACAATCGGAGCGATTCGGCCGGTATTCAGAGAATGGTTGGACAGGGGGAGAGGGGACGCTTACCTTTCGATTGGTGCAGGTACTTTCCGGGCACGGATGTTTCGGAAAGTATCTGCACCGGATCCAGAGGGAGGCGGACTCCTCATGCCATGAGTGCGGCGATGCCGAGGACACGGCGCAGCACACTCTAGAGGTGTGCTCGGCGTGGACTCGGCAGCGTAGCACTCTGGCGGAGACTGTAGGGACGGACCTCTCGCTGCCCGGCGTGGTAAAAGCCATGCTGGATAGCGACGGGTCATGGCAGGCGGTGGTCTCCTTCTGCGAGGATGTCATCTCGCAGAAGGAGGCTGCGGAGAGAGTCCGCGAGGTGCAAGCCCTCGCGGGCTCTCTTCGCAGCAGAAGGGCGAGGGGGAGGAGAGGCAGGCGCACACTGGCGCATCTTCTGCCACCCTGACAAAGGGGATAGCCCGCAGAGGGGCAAGGGGGGGGGCTGGGTCACGTAGGGACCCTAGGATGGTCAGCACGTCGAGTGCTGAACACCGATCAACGGTCCTTTTCAGGACCAGGGTAGGAGCATCACCCCACAGTGATTCTGATCATTGCGATTGGCGGTAGATGCTCAAAAGGCCCTTCTTAGGGCCAAGGGGGGCGGGAGAGGGACGGAGAGAACTACGCTCTCCCTCCCACTCCTGTGAGAGCCGCGAGTCTGCCCTGGGGGGGGACCGGCCTGCATTGCACAAGCTCTCTTGATGCTGGTGCCCCTGATACTCCGGAGCACCTTCATCGGGGTGGGTCCGTTCGCGGACAATCACCTTGCGGGTGCGCGGACAGTCGGCAACGGTTGCCGCGACCACGCCCACACTCCCGGCGTGCATTGGGGGGACTGCGGTCCTCAGAATGTACGCCGGGTGACCGGTGCAGGAGTATTGTCTGGTTTTTAGTGGCCCTGTTCAGGGCGTTAGGTAGGGCCCTGCTCATTTCACCCGGCCTAAGGACTGGCTGAAATGAGCAGGGAGGAGTCCCACATACCTTCTTCTCGCTCCCCCGGTGGTTGAAGGATGCGTAAAGCATTTCCCAGACAAAAAAAAAAAAAAAAAAAAAAAAAAAAAAAAAAAAAAAAAAAAAAAAAAAAAGGGGGGGAGCGACGCAGAAAACAGATTTAGACAGCTCGCTCTCGGACCTCCCGCCTTTTGATACCCTACCGCGCCGCCGCGACCCGTGTCGAGCGCGGCAACCGTTACACAAAAATAATCCTTATAGCATGATTCAGTATTCACGTGCGACGGCGCGATGGCTTATTTCATGTATAAGTTTGGTGTTTCTATACCGATTTCTATGTTATGTTTTTATTGAATAGGTAATAATGTTAACTTTTTTAAATTAGGGATGAGTCAGAGTATTATAAACGTAAGAGTAAACAAATATGATCAGAATGCTCCGAACTGCTAAGCTATCGGGAGTTACACGTGTTACTGTGAGTCAACCATAAAAGATAGACATATGCTGTTGCAGGATATTTTTTAGACAATTTTATGTAGAATATTTCCGTCATACATGATTTCTATGTAACTTGAATCATTAAGGCTGCACACGCGACGGAAGCTTAAAAAATGGAGTAACTTCTCCCGTTTTCCCAACATTTCCCTTCACTACTCTGCTCCTATTGATTCTAGCGTGATGAAAAGTATACTATAACCTGCCCAGGAGTATGAAGAATAATAGTACCAAGTTTCGTTAAAATCCGTCGAGTAGTTTTTGTTTCTATAAGGAACATACACACAGACAGACAGACAGACAGACAGACAAAAAATTTACTGATTGCATTTTTGGCATCAGTATCGATCACTAATCACCCTCTGATAGTTATTTTAAAAATATATTTCATGTACAGAATTGACATCTCTACAGATTTATTATAAGTATAGATTAAACATGTGACAGAATTTATGACCTGACTAGGTATATAGAGAGATGGAGCTAAAGAAGTTTCACTTCAGTCGTGTGGTCATAAGCACATTCGGTTTTTTTTTCATATCGATCATGACGTGGACACAAGTCGAAGACCTAATCATTGTGAATCTCGTCTGAATGACGTTCAAACCTGTTTTAGTATAGTACCATTGAACCATCTAACTTTACTGGTCATATAAGAAAAAATAGTCATTTTTTAGGGTTCCGTAAAAAAAACAGGACCCCTTTTTAGGATAACTTTGTAGTCTGTTCTTCCGTCTGTATAGAATTTTTGTAAAGAATGCGTGAAGATATCAACCGAAAATGAATAGCAACAAAGAGTAATGAAAAACTTAAACTTTTACATCGACCAAAACAAAAGCCTAGGCCGTTTGTGGTTCTTTAGTTTGACACTCGCGCCCGAGCGCTAGAGCTCTGTGACGTCACAGCCAACACGCGGCCAGCCGAAAATTCGTTTAGTAATTTGCCATAACTTCGTCAGTATTATTCACAGGACAAAAATTTAACCACTGTATTTTATGGAATCTTTAGGTTTATAAATCTACATTCTCAACTTAAATCGTTATGATTACTCCCTTGTTATGTTTGTTGATCCGTCGAAATTTGTTTCTTTTCTCTGTTGCCCCTGGCCCACAGCCTCGCCTGCCCTGCCTTAAATTTTGGTTTAAACCTAATACTATCTCTTTCTTCTCTTTAACAAAGGTGAGAGTATTATTAAAGAAGTCAAAAGCTAACGTTTTGTAATGACATAAATCCCGTTGTTGATCTAGAATCATAAAATTTCGTTAGAAGCATAGCCTACTTGGCTATGCATACATACACATATACATATATATACATACACAAGTAATGTAATCATTAAAAAAACGGATATATATCTATCTATATCTATTCAATTCCCGTTCAATACGAAGAATTATTTCTATTTTGCATCTAATAGTTTGTAAGGAAACTCGTTGCGCTAGCCGGTCTCGCACTTGACTTTTATGTCTCAGGGCATACATGTTTTTGCTGTAACTAGTATGAAAAAAAACCAACACTAAACTAATCAGGTTCAAAGCGGACACAAATCAGTCCGTTCGTATTATCGTTCAACATGTACACTTGAATAAGTAATATTAATCATTACATTAGGGTATCACACAAATAGATGGCAAATTTAATCTACTACTAAAATGAAGTGACTCTGAACATAACCGAAAAAAAAAATTGGAAGAGCAATACTCTACTTGGAAGACATCGACTAGATCTAGACAACCCAAATAATGACAAAATAGCGTTTAATGATTGGCTAACGAAAGGCAAACTCTTCCTAGAGACTAAAGGGTTTATGTTAGCTTAACAATATCAAGTAATTGAAACCAAACATTAGAGAAAACATATTATCAAAGATAGCACCGTGCATTCAGATCTATGTCGACGATGCCATCGCAACTCGGAAACACATACGCATGCCCCTCAGTAGCCCAAACTGATTACAAACATCGTCATGGTCAAGTTGCTGCCATCGTACTTAAACATCTTGCATTTAAATATGAACTTGTTCCTGACAAAATAGCATATTATAAATACCCACCGTAAGCGGTTCTTGATACACAACATTGGGTTAGACAAAACATTACACTACAATAGAGCAGATATAACTTTCTACGACAAGATCAAGGTTGAAGTGATCCTCATAGGTGTAGCTATTCGAAAACTCAATCTTAATAACATCTACACTGAGAAAAGTTCGAAATAAACTCAGTTGAGGTAATCCGATATTTTTTTAAGCCCAGGAATTATACATAAATCCACCAAGGCTACAGACAGGTTCACTCTCAGGGCATAAACGTTGAAGGCGAAGATCGCAAGCAGCGGCGCTGCTGCTAGAAGCATAGTCTACATCACACCATAACCACAGTCCAGTTTGATCTCCACGGGTTCCGAGATGGCGATCACGGCTACAGACAGGTTCACCCTCAGGACGTACACGTTGAAGAAGCCAAAGAACACCAGTAGCGCCACCACGTAGCGCCGCTGCTGCCAGAATCATAGTTTACATCTCACCATAACCACAGTGCCGTTGTCCAGTTTGGTCTCCACGGGCTCTGTCATGGCGATCACGGCTACAGACAGGTTCACCCTCAGAGCGTACACGTTGAAGAAGACGAAGAACGCCAGTAGCTCCACCAAGTAGCGTCGCTGCTGCCAGAATCATAGTTTACATCTCACCATAACCACAGTGCCGTTGTCGTACACGTTGAAGAAGCCGAAGAACGCCAGTAGCGCCGCTGCTGCCAGAATCATAGTATACATCTCACCATAACCACAGTGCCGTTGTCCAGTTTGGTCTCTACGGGCTCCGTCATTGCGACCACGGCTACAGACAGGTTCACCCTCAGAGCGTACACGTTGAAGAAGCCGAAGAACGCCAGCAGAGCTACCACGTACCGCCGCTGCTGCCAGAACCATAGTCTTTGGCTCGGCTCTTTCTCTTTCGTCCGATCCCTGGGAAAAAAATAACTTTATTTGAAAAATTTGTCGATCTGATGTAAGCACCTACTAAAAGCTTCCGAAAAACGATTTTTAGCTCTACAATCTTAATATTTTTTAATGCAAAGCCATGATGATGTCCGATGGATTCTAACGACAATTCTATCGAAGTAGACCGGAACCGTTCTATCAGTAGAAATAATATTTCGGGTATTTAAATAGATGTTATGTTGGGATAAAGAAACGCGCACTCTTAAGTGCAAATATAGATAAATCTCTAAATATGTAATACTTCATTCTTTGATAAGTCGTTTAAAAATATCAAAGCGGAGCAACCTCGAGGAAGGCTAATCCTTGGTTTCCCACTACCACTGCTTGTTTTTTTCGTAATAATTTTGCCGATAAAGTCCCGATTTATAGTTAGCCATACAGTGGACGAAGCTGAGGAGCTCGATGGCGCAGGTGCTTAGCGCGTTCGGCTGCGATCGTTGAAGTTACGCAACTTTCGCAGCGGTCGGTCATTGGATGGGTGACCAAAAATCTTCTATCTCGAGTTCCTTCGTGCTTCGGAAGGCACGTTAAGCCGCTGGTCCCGGCTGCATCTGCAGTCGTTAGCATTCGCTAATCCGCACTGGGTCCGCGTGGTGGGTTAAGGCCCAATCTCCCTATTCCATCCATAGGGAAGGCCTGTGCCCCAGCAGTGGGGACATTAATAGGCTAATGATGATGATGATACAGTGGGCATAATCCTGACACGATTCACTAAACCTAAAACTAAAGACAACAGTTCCTCCATTTAAATCAATATACCTATGTATAGCATGACAAGAATACACTATTGTCAAATTTTAATTTTAGGTTTAGAGAATCATGCCAGAATTGGAGCCGTTAAGTTACTACAAAATGAGGAATTTCCTCAATCGATTTATTAATCGAAAATCAAGCAAGATTAAGGTCAAAATCACATTTTGACCGTTTTGGGTGACAGGACCTGTCACTGTTTGTAAATAAAAGTAATTTCCGTCCTGTCTTTGTACGAGTACTTACGGATCGCCACGTGGACGGTTCGTTTAGTTTATTATAAAAATACTATAACTGGAGATATACATCTTTTCAATGACACAAAGAAAACTACAATAAAAATATTTCCGCCCGCAGAGTTGCATGGTGGAATACTTAGAAGGAGATCTTTTATCGCCCCGACTTATAGTCACCGGTTTCCGTGATTATGGAACATAAGCCAAAGAGGAAAGCCGTGTACTTTAAGTGAGGTGTTCCGGGAAGATCCTTACTCGTATTTTTTACAAACTCGACAAATAAAAGCGTCATATTCTATTAAAACACTAGCAGCGGCCGCCCGCGACATTGGCTTGGCCGCGTTAACTTTTGTTATTTGAAAATCCTACAGGAAACTAAAATATTTCCGGGATAAAAAGTATAATATATCTCAATCCTGGTCATGAACTACGCGTACCATATTTCATCCTAATCCGTTCAGTAGTTTTTGCGTGATTGAGTTACAAACGTACAATTTTTCACATTTATAATATAAAAGTAGGAAATAGGATTGGATATCTATCAACAAATGCGTTACATGAAACAGAGAGAAAAACTTTTGTATCTTGATTTTAGTTATGGAGAGTGTGCCCTGCTCTCCCAAGAAGTAAGATAGCGTAAAATATAAAAGGTTAATTGTTATTTTCAATTTGTAACCAAATTGTAGTAGTTATACATATGACCATATACCAGCTGAAAGACATTGAACTATTTAATTTCAACATTATCATGAGTTGGACATATTATCGCGAATAATATCACGCCGAGATTAATAATTCAAACTCAAGTGGAAATGCGTCACCACCACTAAATACTTAACATCAGGAGTAATTAATATGCTCTCTAAATTGCAAGAGCTTGCAAGAGGAACATTTTAAAATCACCAAAATGGTCATAAAGGACAATGTTAAAATTGGCCAAAGAACCAACACCAATTTGGCATTTATGATAATTCTTGGTATATTTTTTGCGATAATTATCAGTATTTAGATTGTGACGGACACTTCCAGTTAAGTAAGCTAAATTAAAAAGTTAATAAATAATCTGAGACAATAAATACCATTTTATGTGTATAATCTATGACAGCGCTGCAAACAAAAAACACTTTCTTCCTAATGCCGGCACTTCACTTGGCTATTCGTATTTGCTATTTAAAAACATGACATCATTCTGTCCTTTTCATTCCTTATTAAGCATGACAAGGACAAACTGTTGTCAAGTGAAGGGCCGGCATAAACTTGATACTCTGTGGTTGTGGTGCAGGCAGTTTGCAGTCGTAGTAATCTGTGGCATTCGTGCATTCTCGTCAAAGAGTACTTTTTATAAACGGAGAATTCTCGTTCGGATTACCTGTTGTGTGTTTATTTGCGATTGTTTTTCCTTTAATTTAACTATTACTATTTCGGCTATCTAATATGCCATCGATGTTATCAAAGAGCAGAAACCTTCTTACCAAGTGCTAGTGAACCTGTGCCATAACATCCTGAGAGGATCATACTGCCAAATTATTCAAAAGCACCTGATACACATTCACACTGCATATACACACAATATACATGTGTTAAACAAATAAATACAATATGATACAATTATGTGAAAAAAAGGTCAATAAATAATAAGAAGCAAAACTATTATATTGTTATTATTTTATTCATGATTCCTACCTAACCAAGTTCTTCCTAATAGTTATTCTTTAAAATCGCACCGAATAAAATGAATTAGTTGTAATATTAATTTACTTCATACTAAGTTCATAGGTTGACCTATGTTTCATTGAATATTAAACATAACCTCAAAAAAATTTTAGTTTTCCTAATAATTTAAGTTCTCAGAAGTGTCCGTCAATAATCTTTGTTTTTACAGTTATTTACGTGCGATTTCGAACCTAGAAAATAATATTACATGATTGTTGGTTCTTAGGCTAACTATGTATGGACGCAGAACAATGTCGTTTAAATTTATTATACGTACATACTTAATATTTATGTGTCTTAGTTATTTCATCATTTACCGACTGTGTGATTAAATTTTGACCACAGATAATTTACAAGTAAACTTACTTCGGCTTTGCTTGGGTAGTTCAGGCAAAGCTGTAGTCAGCAGGACTGATTGGCATGAATTTAAAAAAAAACCTTTATGTAGTCTGTTTGCGGTTAAAAGTCTACAACTTACTGATTAAACAAAAGATACAATGAAATAATTTAATGATAATGATGAGAAATTTTTGTTTAAAACTTTTTAAATCTTATATTTTTATTTTTTATTATTTTAAAGCATGTAACTGCTTGATGTTTAAATCTGAAGAAAATATAACTAGAAAAAATTCCACGCGGACCAGGCAGCAGGCGGGACTCGAACCCGCACCCTTCGCAATCCGGGCGAATGCACTGACCAATTATGCTACCGCGGCCCTCACGGCGCCCGGCCCGGATTGCGAAGGGTGCGGGTTCGAGTCCCGCTTGCTGCCTGGTCCGCGTGGAATTTTTTCTAGTTATATTTTCTTCAGATTTTTAAATCTTTATATAATTCACCAGATTTTAAAAAGAAAACCTAAATACATTGATTATGTTTTGTCGAGATTTCATTTTATTTAAAGTCGACATTTTTAGTTAAGTGATAATCACCAATCAAAATATAATTCATAAAACGGCCAGATGAATGAAAGAATAAAATACTGCAATTGTATGAAGAGCAATGCTTTTTAATGTCATAAAAAAGGTTGATTCGACACCGGAACGTAATTGTTGTTTTTGTAGCGCCCAAGCCAAGGCATCATCTAGACGGATCTATGACGGGGCAGATCATGTGATGATTACGTGTAAAATCTGATATTGATGCCTAAGTTAGTATAAATAGGAATTTGCTATTAAGCTTGCAATGTCGGAGTTACTTGCACGTTAATATTAAGACAATTATAGGTACAAGCATTTTCTCAACATAATCTGATATTTGATGCGTAAGTTAGTGTAAATAGTAATTGGTTATTAAGCTTGTAACGTTCAAGTTACTTGCACGCTTATATTATGACAAGATACAAGGATTGTATCCACATTATCTGATATTAGATACCTAATTCAGTTTGAACAGGAATTTGCTATGTACCAGCTTGCAACGACCGAGTTACTTGCACGCATATATTATGGACAGCTTATCATCAGGAACAATAGAAGGTCGAAGAAGACATTTACTTTGAGTTCAACCAACTTACTTCAACTGTTCAACTGACCATAGTCAGAATAAGGTCATTATTTGACAGTGTCTATAACTGTCCAAGCGAGAACGGCTAAAGTTACAGAAAAATTTAACTGTCTCTGTGGTGTAACTCCCACTTTGTAGTTAAACTTCGAGACAGGTACTACGGACGGAGTACGCGATAAAAATTCTTTTCCGGGAACAGCTTTGTAGTTAAACTTCGAGACAGGTACTATGGACGGAGTACGGGATAATAATCCTTTTTCGGGAACAGCTTTGTAGTTAAACTTCGAGACAGGTACTATGGACGGAGTACGGGATAATAATCCTTTTCCGGGAACAGCTTTGTAGTTAAACTTCGAGACAGGTACTACGGACGGAGTACGGGATAAAAATCCTTTTCCGGGAACAGCTTTGTAGTTAAACTTCGAGACAGGTACTACGGACGGAGTATGGGATAAAAATCGAAAATTTTAAAGTATAAATAGCAGTTATTCTTCCTTCCTAAAACCCCGTTCGCCATCGTCGTCAGCTACTCAATTAATGTCCCCACTGCTGGGGCCTTCCCTATGGATGGAATGGGAGATTGGACCATGACCCCCTACGCGGGCCCAGTGCAGATTGGTAGGTACTAACGACTGCAGATGCAGCCGGGACCAACGGCTTAGTGTGCCTTCCGAAGTACGGAGGAGCTTGAGCTAATAAGTTTCGGTCATCCATCCAATGACCGACCATTATGAAAGTTGCTTAACTTTAATTATCGCAGT